AGACATATGAAAGATGTAACCAAGAAACCAAATAAAATATAGAAAGATTAGAGCCCCAAAACGGTAATGCTTCGAATAACTACAGTTACATACACACACACACACACACACACACACATATTTATGTTGTTTACATCGTCTTGTCGGACTTTTTACTACAGCTTAACGACGCATTGCCGTTTTGGGGCTTAGGAAGTAAATATATCAATGTCATGTTCAATGTGCAATGGAGAATGGAGAAAGACATACGATTTTAAAGATACATACGTACATGCATACAAGCAAACATACCCACGTAATTGTCTATTGAAATATGCCAAGCAAGTTTCCCAGATTGGCCAGATATACATGATGAGTAATACATAGATATATCTATCATATACATACACATACAGCTGCATACATACTCTATACATAAGCATGCATCTATAGATGTCAATTTGTGCAACATCATAAACAAACATACAGGCACACACACACATGCATACGTACATACATATTCATATACGTATAGACGTCTCTGTCTCTTTCGCGCCTTTGCCAAGTTGCCTAACTGAGTTGACTCTCATTCTACGAACCACTCTGTCACCCCACTGTACTGTATCCTAAGTTCACTGTTATTTGTTATGATCGGCTTGAGAACAGTTTCAGTTTCCGTTAATGTGCTAGCAGTTTTTTGCATTTGTTGAACTTTCCTTTAGCACGTAAGTGATAAGTGTAACAATAACTAAATGATTACCAATAAAACATACAGAAATAAATGCATCTTTCATGACAAACTCCTCGGGATTATTCATTTTCGAAGTGTGGTTCATTCGTTCATTCGTTAATTCATTCCTTGAGCTGCTCTGCCAGCCCTGTTTCTGGGTGGAGTGCTGGAAAATGCCTGCCGAAAGTGCTTACTCTGAAACTAAAATCAAATTCGAATTCAAACAATGAAGCTCATTTGAGTTTGAATCGACACGCGTAGTCCGCGATCCGTAGTCAATGCGTTCGGTGGTGTTCCAGAGCCTCCACTTCCACTTCCATCGTCAGCGTCAACGTCACCACTAGTCCACGTCCGTCAGACCGTTCAAAGTTCTTCCGATTTGAATTTAGGCCACCTTCGGTGACCCCGAAGCATAAAGTAATCGCTTGACATGGAGATCTTCCTGCGGCTGCTCGCCTTCGTGGTGAATGCCTTCGGCATGCTGGTGAACAAGATCTTGGATCTGGTGATGGTCCGCAGGCTGCCCGACTTTCCACCCATCAGCGATCCCCTGCTGAACAGGCCCGTCGTTGAGCTGGCCACCCAATTGCGTCGCGGTGAGGTTAGTCTTTGGCTCCATTAACGTCATGCCAAGCAATTGCTACATTAACATGCCATTTGCATGTCATTGTCATCCCCCAGATTAGCTCGGCTCAGTTGGTCGGGGCGTACATAGCTCGTGTCCGCGAAGTGAATCCCGCCCTGAATGCCGTGGTCGATGAGCGCTTCAAGGCGGCCCTGACGGATGCCCAGCTGGCCGATGACTTCATTGCCCGTGCCAGCACAGAATTCGATCGGGTGGCCCTGTTCACGCGCTATCCGATCCTGGGTGTCCCATTTACCGCCAAGGAATCGTGCAGCGTGAAGGGTAACCATTGACGTAGGTCTGGAATGACTCCTAGCTTATTTCCCTATCCTTTTAGGCCTCTCCTTTGCCGTGGGCAGCATTATCCGCAAGAACATGAAGGCCGCCACGGATGGAGAGGTTGTGGAACTGCTCCGCGCAGCCGGCGGCATTCCGCTGCTCGTCTCCGCCACTCCCGAGTTCTGCATGAGCTTCGAGACGAGCACCGTGATCAATGGGTGCTGTGTGAATCCCTACGACATGCGTCGCTCTTCGGCGGGCTCCTCCGGTGGCGAGGGAACACTCAATGGCTGCGGTGCCACGACCTTTGGTGTTGGCTCTGACATAAGTGGCTCCATCCGATTGCCCGCCATGTTCTGTGGAGTTTTTGGGCACAAGCCGACGGGCGGTCTGCTATCGGTCAAGGGTCATTTCCCCTACTCGTTGACGGACAAGACTTTCCCCAACATGCTGCAGATTGGACCCATCACTCGCTTTGCCCGCGACATGCCGCTGCTTCTCGAGATCATGGCTGGAGATAACAAGCACAAGCTGAAGATGGAAGAACCGGTGGCCCTCAAGGACATAAAGGTTATCTATCAGCACCAAAAATCAAAGACAATATCTTTGATGTTCAATATCCTGCTCCTTAGATCTACTACTCCTATGGCTACTCCGGTTTGAACTGCTTCACCCATCCCGTGGTGGACTTTGAGATCAAGCTAGCCGTCACGAAAGCCGTGAAATGCTTTGAGAAAGCGGGAATACAAGCCAAACAGGTTAACAAATTGGACTAAAGGAAAAGGCTATCCCACTGGATCTAATCAATTCATTTCCCCCTACAGTTGGATCTGAGTTTCCTGAGCAACTCCTTGGAGATTGCGTTGGTTTCGCTGGTGGATCTCAAAGGTATCCCCAGCATTGTGACACAGCGACCCGATCGTCCGCCCTCCATGCGTCTGCTGATCATTGAGTTTATGAACAGCCTCATTGGCCACTCGCTGTTCACCAAGGAGGCCTTGTTCCTGGAGTTGATGCAGCGGTTCAATGGCCTAATGGCCTCTGGGAATATGCAAGCTTACCGCGACGAGGTGGATAAGATCAAAGACCACATGATTGTAAGTTCAGCTGAACAGAAACCGTCAAACTTTTCTATACACAAATCCCTGACAGGAACTTTTGGGCAATCGCGGTGTCCTCTTGCTGCCCACCTTCCACACGAGTGCGCTCGGCTTCCACACCTCCATAGTGAACGTGACGGGCATCGACAACATGTTGCTCTTCAATATCCTTGGACTGCCGGCCACTCATGTGCCCATGGGCCTCAACCAGCGCGGAATGCCAATTGGCATCCAGGTGGTAGCGGCTCCCTACCAGGACAAGCTCTGTCTCCAGATTGCCGCCGAGCTGGAGGCCGTTTTCAAGGGCTGGGTGCCGCCAGTGCCGCACGCAATTGTATCTAAGTGAAACTCCATTTCAGTCAAGGTTTGTGGTTTAGTTCATTTGAATGTTGTAAAGTTCATTGTCGAATTATATTTTTTTTCGTACGGCCAGTTTGCACTTGAAGTCGAAATTACCATCATTATGAGTGTATAATCATTCTACCAATCTACAATAATTCACAATCTGGAGATTATAATTATTACAGCCGAATAAAAATTATGACTGCTTTTCTCCACATTGATTACAGAATTCAAAATAAATTTACGTTCCACACATCTGGTTTCGGTTATACTGTGGGGTAGAGATTAACATTTGTTGTGCATACTTCGGTGGTGCGGAATTTGTTTTAAATATTTATCACATAAGCACAGGCTTGCCATCGAAAAGAGTTCGTTACTTGAAATCTGTAAATTGTGTTCAAACTTAATGCTAAAACATAAAAATAACTGTTTCGTATGCAAAGGTGGAAGGGTCGAAATACCCAACATAAACCTTCTTTAACGGGCCTTTCCAGCTGCATAAAATGCAAACTCCACATGCATGTATGCATGTAAGTGTATGTATGCATAAGTGACAAAGCGGAGGGGGAATTTGTTTTACAGTTAATGCTATGCACGGCTTAATACACGGACTAAACGTTCTTGCGTGTAACCGAGTTGCTTGTTGGTGTCAGTGAGAGAGAGCGGGCTGGCAAGCGCACTATGGTCCCAATGACCATTTTTTGTCCTAAATTAATTTTGATTTAGTTTTTTGATATTAGTTAAGAATAGCAAGAGGCATGTTTTTCGAGAAAATGGGAGTGGCACCTCCTTATTTTAAGGAAAAATCTGTTTTTATTTTTTTTCTCAAAATGTTAGAAGCAAAATAAGGATGGTAATATTTTTAGCAGTGCAAAATTCTATAAAAAAAAGTCGTAGCACGAATTAAAACAACTTAAAAATACAAGATAATCGAATTTTTGTCCCACAAAGCATTCTCTATAGGAGTTTTCATTATAAAACAATATTACACTGGATATCAAACTCTAGCCCTCCAAACTAGCGGGTGACTAATACTGTATCTTAAATGCAATGCAAAATGGCACCTAACAATTTTCATCTTCATTGTGTTCCAAACGGAATAAAATTCCAAATTCAAAACATTGAAATTTCTCATTTGAGGTTATAATATATAAATGCAAATTGTAAGAGTTGTGGTCAAATGTGGCATTACTGACTATATACATTTTAACAATCATTAATTGGTCTACGACACACAATACGTTTCAAGACTAGGTGGCACTCTACTAAAACAACTTTTTCAAAAATTAGTTTTCACTACGAACTGATACATAATGAAGGCCTCACTTTGACACACAATTACGAAGACATCGCCAACCACTAGATACCGTTCACATTACCTACTGTATACAATGCATCTAAAAAATTGGATCAGTTAATCGTATTTTATGAGACATTTAAAACAGCAATAAAATTGGTACTTTTTCACTGCCCGTGCTTTTCAATAACGACCGCTAGGGTTCACAGTTGATTTTGCGAAGGTGGCGCCATCTATGCAAATATCTGGTACGCCACTTGGTCATTCTTTTTCTAATACAGAGCGCCAAAAACCAAGTCTTGGTTTTAACTTTTAAAAATTACCTTTTCGCCAAGAAAAGTGGTCATTGGGACCATAGTAAAGCGTGAGTGGTGGTGTTTTTGTAAACACAAATCCCTCTCTCACTCGCTTTCGTTTACCGCTTGCTTTTGATCGTTCTCTCACCAGCTCTCTGCAAGCCAGTCGCTTTCTACCTTTGTTGTTTTGCTCTCACACTCGTCTGCTTTTGATTCTGATTCTGCTTCTGCTTCTGTCTCTGCCGACTATATATATGTAGCATAAGTATATACACTTTTTTGCACAGGAAAGTTTTGTAAATTCTCTTCTCCATTTAATGTTTCTCCACTCCCCATCGCGTGCTGTGCTGTAATGGAACTGTTTCTGCGTTTAATTTTGATTGTCGTTAAGGCAATCGCCCTGATAGTCGGACCGCTGCTGGACCTATTCTGGTATCCGCCGAAAGTACGAAAAACCTTATTGCCGCCCATTAGGAATCGCCTGCTTACGCTGAGCGTCCAGGAACTGCGCAATCGTCTGCGTAGGCGACAGGTGAGAGTCGATATGTGGCAACAAAAATAAAAACCAATATTTTTATTATTGGACAAACTATTTCGCATTTGATTCCATTTCGGTTCGTATGCAAATTTCAGCTGACTTCCGTGGAACTCGTTGAGGCCTACATAGAACGCATCGAGGCGGTTAATCCGCATTTAAATGCCTTGGTCGAATCTCGTTTTCCTGCAGCTCTGGTGGAAGCAGCTGCAGCTGATGACCTCATAGCCGGCTCGACCGATGTGGAGAAGTTGTTCAGAGATCGCCCCCTGCTGGGACTACCACTAACAGTGAAAGAATCGTGTGCCCTGGGCGGCATGACCTTCGCTGTGGGCAGTTTGGCCAGAAGGAATGTAAAAGCGCAGGACGATGGCGTGGCCGTGAAACGGATCCGCTATGCCGGAGCCATTCCACTGCTTGTCTCTGCCACGCCCGAGTACTGCTTCAGCGTTGATACGGACACCATGCTGAATGGTCGCTGCATCAATCCATACGACTTTGAGCGCACACCCGGTGGTAGTTCGGGGGGTGAGGTGAGTAGCTTCATTCCCTTTAACAATGGACTGCGATGAATGAAAGTGATTTCTTCCAGGGCTCTCTGAATGGCGCTGGTGCTTCGCTCTTTGGTATCGGCTCAGATATTGGCGGCTCCATTCGCATTCCCAGTCTGTACTGCGGCATCTTTGGCCACAAGCCGTCCAGTGGAGTGGTATCCGTGGGCGGTCATTTCCCCAACTCGAGCGCCGAGGGTTTTGAGCAGTATCTAGTGGAGGGACCCATGTCTCGCTTCGCAGTGGATTTACCCGATCTGCTCGAGGTGATGGCTGGCAGCGAAAAGGCAGCCGCTCTGCGCTTGAGAGAACCCTTCCAGTTGAGCCAACTGAAAATCCACTATGCCCTGGGATTCGAGGGCATCAACGGATGGATGCATCAGTCGGTGGACGGGGAGATCCAAAACGCAATACGCAAGGCTGTGACGCACCTGAAAACCCTCGGCCTGGACGTGCAGCGCGCCAAGCTGCCAGACCTCGGCAACTCCATGGAGATGGCGCTGGTCTGGATTGCAAACCTGCACCAGATGGACTACCTGCTGGAGGCCGAACCCACTGAGGGGTCGGGCAAAGTGCGTGAGACACTGGGCGAGATGCTGCGGAGCATCCGCGGTCAGTCGAGTTACACAATCAACGCCCTGATCTTTGAGCTTTTGCGCCGCTGTCAGGCGTTAATGGGGCGGCCTCAGATGGAGCAATACCTGGCAGAGTCGAAGGCGCTCATAGGAAAGTTCAGCGTAAGTGGCCAATTAACGTGCATGCAATGTCCGATGATGTCTAGTCTCAGTTGTTATCCAACATACAGACGTTTCTTGGGGAGAACGGGGTACTGCTATTTCCCACCATGAGCTCGCCGGCAGGCAGACATAAGTGGACTGTTTTTCCGCTGTGGGGCATCGACTACACCCTCATCTTCAACGTCCTTGGCCTACCGGTCACGCATGTGCCCATCGGATTAAATAAGCAGGGCCTGCCTATAGGATTATCCGTGATTGCGGCGCCCCATCAGGATCGTTTGTGTCTGCACCTGGCCATGGAGCTGGAGAGGGCCTTTGGCGGTTGGCAACCACCCACCCCTCACGAGTTTGATGATTAAATCAACGTTGAACTAAACAACTCCTAATAAATAAACAAAGGCTCAAAGTGTCTGTCTGGATGAGATTGTACCCATACTGGAATAAATTTCAAAATTTTGAATGTGACCATTTCATGAATTTACCAATCTGAATCGGTTGAAACGGTTACTTGATATCAGCTTTCTCTTATTGCCGCTTTCGAGTGGCGCCCTTAGTTACATTTTACATTATACACTGGCGCCCTCCGATTTAGTTCACAAGAAATCCCAATCGCGCCACTGTGCACGCGATATGTGTGACACATGTAAGATTTATGACGAAAACGTGGAAAGAGCAGTGCTGCCAACCTTTTATATGTCATTAACCTAACGACTACGACGGCAATTTTAGGAACTTCGACGGCAATTTCATGACTCGGCGCCAGTGGGAAATTGGGCGTGGACTTTCCGACTCCAAAGAGACCCGTCTATCTATGGCCAAATTCCCCCAACAAGTACCCTGAGGTGACCATGCTGGAAAGCAGATCCAGGCTGCATACCAACAGTAGCTCATCTTCAACATTATTCCCGTGAATCGAATTCATTAACAACCTTCTGATCATCAACACCTGTTTACTTCCTAGGCCTAAAAATGTTTCCATTAGGACATGGAGAAGAAGCAAAGATTTTGTGATATGAAAATTTCGTTGTTTGGATTGTGTTGCAAGCCTTTGGTAAAATATTGTATACCCTTGCTAAGGGTATCACGCCTCTATGATGCACATGGGGAAGGTTCGACACGCGAATGCAAATCAATTACTAAAAAGAATGCCACTTATTCACTTCCGAACTATTGGGCAAATATTTATAGACTCGCCAAGTATAAATAGAAGCCAGCAAAGCATTCAAAAAATCCAAATAGCAGAGCAAAGAAAATGAATTAAATCTACTTAAAAGGCTAAATACACTTTGATTGGGGCAAACCAAACAAAACTAATCAGAGAAAATGCATTGCTGTCGACGCGGACTGTGGTTAATTGCTCTTATAAATGGACGGCCCGGCAACGACATGGATGCCATGGCATGGCATGCCGCTTCCTCGAGCACCGCGCTCGGAGATCTCGATCAACCTTGATGTTGATTAATAGGTGCCGCTCTGCTTGGCTCATCTATTTCGGTGTCGTCTCGCTGCCTGCCAGTCCCGTCGTCCCTGTGCATCTCTATCGGTTTGCTCAGGGTCCACGTACCATGGCATGGCATGCCAATTGTCTTGCGCCGGTCCTTCTAGGGTTCGTTTCTATTTTCTGAACTCTCTTCGATGCGAGTGAGTGTTGGGTGATGGCGTGCCGGGCTGTCGGGCTGCCGGGGGGTTGCCTAATGTCCCACTATTAGAGCAAATTAATTGACGCTGTGGTGGCCAATTCTTGTCACGCACATTTCTTTATCAATTGTGCCCGTGTGGGTTTGTCTCTCTCTTATCTAAAACTGACTCTCTGAATCTCCCCTACAATGGGTAATTAAGGGGGAATTGTTAGTCTTCAATAAAGTTACAACATCCTTGCAATATCCCAAAGAATAGGAGAAACTTTATGGACCATCTCGAGGAATGATAAGATCCTTCCCACAGAAGCGAAGGGGCTTTGTGTGTCGCCTGTGGCCCAAGATCTCACAACTTCTCCCATGCTGGGAGCAGAACAAAGAAAACGGCTTATATGGATCGATTCGAGTTGCCTCGCACTAGTTTCGCGCATCGCTTTCTCTGAGTGGACAGCCAAAAATCTCTTCGTGCGAGAGCCCCCAATATAAAGGCACGACAGACCGCACGGCGTGCCATTTGTTGTTGAGTCTAGCCGTCAACAAGAATCGTCAACGTGCGAATTAATTCTAATTACATCCTTTCCTTCGCCTAAAAGGTGTGTGTACTTCTGAGTGTAAGGGAGCTGGGGAGCTGGGAGGCTGACAGAATCAAGGATACCAAGTCATCCAGCATGGATCGAGGAATTCGAGGAATATTTTGTGAATCTCGATTGTGCGAAAGAGTTCCTTAATGGAGGATCCATCCCCCCTTCTAAAGGGCAGAATCTATTTTTAAAGTGACGATTAATCGGACGGACAAAGTAATTGGATCGAGACGAATTCCCATTGGTTGGATGATATCAATTTGGGTTCTATGAACTTTCCGCAACAGATCGAGCAGCAGCACATTGACAGTGGGATATTTGCCTTGTTTTTGTTTCCAGATAATCAACTGCCAAGATGTGTGACGATGATGCGGGTGCATTAGTTATCGACAACGGTTCGGGCATGTGCAAAGCCGGCTTTGCTGGTGATGACGCCCCACGTGCCGTCTTCCCATCGATTGTGGGTCGCCCCCGCCACCAGGGTGTGATGGTGGGTATGGGTCAGAAGGATTCGTACGTCGGTGATGAGGCTCAGAGCAAGCGTGGTATCCTCACGCTGAAATACCCCATCGAGCACGGCATCATCACCAACTGGGATGACATGGAGAAGATCTGGCATCACACCTTCTACAACGAGTTGCGCGTGGCCCCCGAGGAGCATCCAGTATTATTGACAGAGGCACCCCTCAACCCCAAGGCCAATCGCGAGAAGATGACGCAGATCATGTTCGAGACCTTCAACTCTCCGGCCATGTATGTGGCCATCCAGGCCGTGCTCTCCCTGTACGCCTCCGGTCGTACCACTGGTATTGTGTTGGACTCTGGTGACGGTGTCTCCCACACCGTGCCCATCTATGAGGGCTTCGCCCTGCCCCATGCCATCCTCCGTCTGGACTTGGCCGGTCGCGACTTGACCGACTACCTGATGAAGATCCTCACCGAGCGCGGCTACTCGTTCACCACCACTGCCGAGCGTGAGATCGTGCGCGACATCAAGGAGAAGCTGTGCTACGTGGCCCTGGACTTCGAGCAGGAGATGGCCACTGCCGCCGCCTCCACCTCCCTGGAGAAGTCGTACGAGCTGCCCGACGGACAGGTCATCACCATTGGCAACGAGCGCTTCCGCTGCCCCGAGGCCCTGTTCCAGCCCTCCTTCCTGGGCATGGAGTCGTGCGGTATTCACGAGACCGTCTACAACTCGATCATGAAGTGCGATGTGGACATCCGCAAGGATCTGTATGCCAACTCTGTGCTGTCCGGCGGCACCACCATGTATCCAGGTAATCATCATCCATCCATCCATCCATCCATCCATCCATCATTGAATTGAAGTTGATTCTCATTTGTGTGGTTCGCTCCGCAGGTATTGCTGATCGTATGCAAAAGGAAATCACTGCCCTGGCCCCATCGACCATCAAGATCAAGATCATTGCGCCACCTGAGAGGAAGTACTCCGTCTGGATCGGTGGCTCCATCCTGGCCTCTCTCTCCACTTTCCAGCAGATGTGGATCTCGAAACAGGAGTACGATGAGTCCGGCCCCGGCATTGTCCACCGCAAATGCTTTTAAATCTTTCCCTCGTGGCGAAAGACTTCCAAAGGCAACGACCAACAGCAACACCGTCGGCCCCCACAGTGATACACAAGAGCAGCGATGCCATCGCACAATTATCATCCATTTCAAATTAAAAACCGCACAGAGGCAGCACATCCATCCTGTTGCCAGAGCACATCCATCATTGAAATCCACTCAGCAACCGCGCCGAAGATTTTTATTGTGAAGAACTTTTGAGAAGAAATCGTCGTTGTGTGGTTAGCGTCTATGTTCATAGATCGATGTATATCAATGAGCTCTCAGCCCTAGTCAGTGTAATGAGAGCCAATTGTATAACTTCCATTAAAAATATGAAATACATACTTTAAATAAATAAACACTTTTCTATTACCCTTCCGTGTACTTCCCAGACAACTGAAGATGCATAAACAGTTTGGTTGGTAAAGAGCTTTTGAAGTTGTTTCTTTAATTCACATTAAATAATTTGTTAAAAGAGTTTCTGTTTTGTACAACTATTAGCTTAGAATGTAAGGCGAAAGTATCAAAACATACAGCGAGGATACTCGGTACCGGGACTTAGGCCAAGGGATATGATTAATTCAGAAACTATGCACGAGAAGCAGAATCCAAGTGGCTAATGGATGGGCTATCTCAGACCCCTCCTATGTACCATCTTATGTGGCTGTTCTGTTGCTAAATCTATTCCCTTTGCACTCTGCGAGTACCGGGCAGAAAGTACAAAGATGTGGCAGTGATTGATATTTATTGAAACCAACCAGGTTCGTTCAGCAGTGTTAGTTCGATGAATGGTAGTTTTGGCTTGTGTTGGCTTGTGTGGGGTTGTTTCTTTTTCCTATATAATATGAGTATTTCGTTTTAGTTACCATTCGTAAGCACCTAGCACATTAATATCTCTATGCATAGAATATCCCTAAATATATGTTTCTTAACTAATTAATTGCGTAGCTTAACAGATACAACTATTGTACAGACCAGCATTGCAACATTGCGTAAGCATAAATAAGCGTTAAGTATGTATACTATCTATTGGTTAATCTTTCAACTTATGGATTGTATTTTGGTCAACTCAATCTTATCGAATAGATGATGCGCTCCTATCCCCCGGTATGTACAATTCTTATTGCTTTAAATGGCCATAATGTGTAAGAGCTAATTTCGAGCAAAATAATATTATATGTACACGTACGCTCCGCTCCGATCCGCTTCCAAATTCTTATACTGCAATTATGCTTTGTTCGGGCTCTTCTGACACGATGACGGTTCATTCCATTCCTTATGATTGTACAATGTACATCCTAACTAATATTCGAGAATACTTTTGGCGCCTCGTTTCTCCTCATTGTAGTTGGTAATGCTTGGCTGAAGGTTAACCTTCGTGGTCCTTCCCGGGACGAAGACCCGATTACCATGGGAAGGGAACAAAAACCCCTGGGTACCTTGGCCAGACCTGGGTGGGACCTGAAAAAGCTGGTTAATACTTTCAAATTTTGAACTGTTGTCTACATCGAGGTAAAGTCCCGCCGTCGGCGAAATGAAACACCCGCCGCAAAAGCCCCCGCAGAATGCTCTTCGCTTCAGCTTCGCAGTGTCAAACTGTGGACAGAAAAGAGAGATCGTTGAAGCCCGGAACGACACGGACTGGCACTATTACTCACCCCACTGCCGCGCTTCATGATCACCGGATTGCCGTGTGTGTTCCAAACGGTGCCAGGGCGCATGACAAAGCCCGTGCGCTCCAGATTGATGGAGAAGTCTCCCTGCGGACACTGCATGTTGCGGTTGTAGCAGTCGCCCGCCGACCCCAGCTTCTGGCGTTGACCCCGCGACTCGGCGAACTCGAAATCATTATCGATGACCCGCAGATCGGTGATGTTGAGGCGCAGCTTGCTGAAGTGCGTGCGCCCAGAGTTCTGGTCGTTGTAGTACTCGTGCGCTCGGGACTCCGGCGGACAGCTGTTCATCAGCGTGGTCTTATACTCGTAGTAAATGGAATAGTTCTCCTGCGGCTCCACGCTTATGTACTCGCGCGGCGTCCGACTGTTCATGTGATGGCAGTAGATGCGCACCTGCTGCTGCCGCACCTCCAGCGTATAGTCTCCGTCCTTGTGGATGCCGTGCATGCGCTGCAGATCCATGCAGCTCTGCGGTCTGCGAACACTCGCCATGCTGACCATGTTACTGCTGCTGCTGCTGCTGACACTTCGCCTCCTGCAGCTGGGCGGGGGCAGGCACTTGTGCTTCTGCGGCTTCGACCTCGTGGGACAGGCTACGTGACCCAAGCGAGAGTCGAAGCACACGTCTCTCCGCGTCTCGTAGCCATCGCAGTTGCACTACAAAAAGAGAAATCAGCATTGTATCTGGGGGCATCGTGGATGTCTTTTAGGTGTTCTTACCTGCGAGACGACCTTTGACTGCCGACGCACACAGTTGTTGCAAATGCGCCGCTTGGTCGGACGCTTTTTGGCCACACAATGCCCCTCCTCTATGCTGTCGCCCTGCCAGGACTCGCAGCGAACGTAACGCGTTTGATATTCTTTGGAGCAGTCCGCGGGACAAGGCGTCCAGTTTGAGGTAATCCACTTGCAGTTGATCTTGCACGTCTTCACGGTTGTGCGGAGCGTTGGCCTCCGCACCTTCCGGCTGACACAGTACGAGTCATTGATGTACACCTTACGCTTGGGCGAGCCCGGCACTTCAGGCTTGTACACACGAGTGCAGCGCTGCAGCTTCCTCTTCTGCCCCTCTCCACATTGCACAGAACACTAGAGTTCATGAACAGCGTTAAGTTTAGGAAAGAGTTGTATGCATTAGCTGGACTCACATCACTCCACTCGCTGGTGTATTTGATCTGGCAGCAGTTGCGAACCTCCTTGGGCTTCCTGTTTCGGTCGCACCCAATGCCGTAGGGATGCGAGCAGCGCACGGAGCGACTCTTCTTGCACCAGTCATTGCAGTCTCCCCACTCTCCACTCACCCAGTTGTTCACCGAAACGGCGTTCTGTAAAGGACTGGCATTGGCAGAGGCACAGCAGACAGCGGCTGGTTGGACTTACCGGTGATTCTGTATAGACAGGGCAGGGCTCGACATTGCAGGACTGGAGCAGCTCATTGTACTGGTGCTTGGTCCGAGGACTGCACAGCTCATCGCTGACATGGACATTGTTCAGGTAACATCGCACTTCCCGCATCTGGGTGCCTGTGCCACACGCCTTGGAGCACTGTCGCCGCAAATGAGAGAGACAGTCAGTCAGATGGAGATGGAGATGGAGATTCCGAGATTGAATACTTACCGCAGTCCATTCGGAATAGTTCCAGCATCCCTCGCGGCACTCCTCATGGCGTACGACCTCAAACTTGAGCTTGCAGTAAGACATGTCCACGATATTCGAACGCTGAATATCCGGGAATGTCTGTATGCAGTTGAAGTTCTTCTCGCGCGTTCCCAGTTCCCCGCACGCCGCCGAACACTCTGATATGCTCGTGACATTGAGACTGGAAGTGCAAGGAAACAAATGAGATTGAATCGCGAGATTCTATTATTGACAATTTCATTCGCTTACGTGAGACGACATTCCATGTTGCAGCTGCGATCCTCGACCTTGGGTCGGGCTGTGGCATCGCAGAACTGCGGCGCCACCTTAAGTCCCTGTGTGGTGCTAACGCAGGCTGGCTGACGATACATTCTGCCCTGGCAGAGCGAGTCGCAGGTGCTCCATGTCTGCATTTCCCAGCGATAGATCTCCACCTCGGCCGCCTCAGCCGTCATCGGCTTGTCAATGGTGTAAGAGTACGAAATCAGAACTGTGTCGTGTTTTTTGGCCGGACTCAGGTCTATAGAGATGATCTGGCAAACCAAAGACGGAGCGTTATTAATACGAGCGATGTCAGGGAACGTGCCTGCTTCGTGTGTGCTTTACCTCAACTACTAGATCACGTGACAGCTTCCATGAGTAGGTCGTGTTCACACGCTCCATCGGACTATCGGAGCCGTTGTACTCTATCGTAACGCCAGCATAGACGAACTTCAGCGAATACGACTTGACCACGTCCCTGTTGAGAATGGGCGCACGCTTGTCATCGCTCAGCACAATGTAGTTCTGCTCGGGATATCCAGGCTGTGTGATGACGATATTTGAGGCACCTGCAAGTCAAGTCAATATTCAATATTAAAGTGTTTCAACGCTCTGGAATTTACGAGATTGCCAGTGGCGCCAGATGCCGATAAGAACAGCGATGTCCACTGATAGGCGGCTGGTTGCGCGATTAATGAGCGATTATGAGCAGCAGCAGTCTGGCCATTTCCCCATTTTCTCGTTAATCAGCGCGTACGTGAGGTTCTCGAGTGCATTAACCTGGCGCCGCTGCACGACCCGCAGCTCCCCATTCAGAAAGCACCATCAAGGGCCATTCGCATGGGGGGATTGGGCGGGCAGCAGCAGCGACAAATATGGCCAGCACATGTGTATGGGGGGGGGTATGTAAATGATTTGCGAATTAAGGCCAAACACACATAAACATTAACCATTAGCCAAAACATTAATCATAGAAATGTTATTCGGTACTCTTTTGGGTGCTGCTGACAATAGCGGATGCAAATTATTGCGCGGGTACACACCTTTTGGTATTGTCGTCACATAGTAGAGGGTCTTGGTGGGTTCCTTGAGTTTGAGCAGATCGGCGACGTACAGATTTCCGGTAACTTCCTCGCATGTGTCGCTCTGCCCCTCGCAAACGCCGCACTTATCTGTACAGAAATATATTTAGTTGTTTGCTCAGGCCAATGATTTGTGTGCCTACCCAGCTTGGCAAGTGAGTTGAGCTCATTGTCGCATCCCGCCGGCCGGCAAATGCCATTGACGCACTTGTCGAAACTGTCCACGGTGCAGGTGGTGCCATCCGCTACTTTGTTCTTGAGCTTGAAGTATGTAACGCTGTTGTCCACGCGGCAGAAGAGTTTGCACTGCTTGGAGGGTTCCCCTGTGAGGCAAAGCGGTGAGCTTTAATATATGTCCAAATGTATCCAAAGTGCGGACTTACTCTCGTATTTGGGTATCCACTTGGAGGCTGGACTGATGCCCTGAATGTTAAAGTTTCTTCCGTTCATGTCGTAGCACTGCTGCTCGCGGGGATCCGGTGTGCCCAGGGGGCAGGGGTGCGTGTTGCAGGAGCGATACTTCTTGCGGCTGCCCACACAGTACTTGCCGCCGTGATCGGGCACCGGATCGTTGCAGTCACGATGCGACTCCTGCACGCCGCCGCCACAGGTGAGGCTGCAGGGCGTGAACACCGTCCAGGGCCCCCATCCACCGTTCACCTGGCGCAGCAGCCCTCCCTTGCGTGGCACGCACTTGCCCTTTTGGCACCAGTTTCGGTTTTGGTTGCAGGGCGTGCCGTCTGCCCAGGGCAGGTTGCTGGAACGGCACTGGTCGTGGGGGTTCGTGTGCGTCCGGTTGCACCACAGCCGCTGGCACTCCTCCTCCATGGAGCAGTGGGTGCTGCGGTTGCCGTAGATCAGCTCGCACTGGTTGTCCAGCGAGTAAATCTCACCGGGCAGCCTTTCCGTCTTATTGGGTATGTACGAGGAGGGTGTGTTCTCCAGGCAGGATTTGTCCGTCTTTCTGCAGATCATTTGGGAAAGATATTAATCCACTCTCCTTCGGTTGATTTACTTACTCTAAGAACTCGGATACAAAGTGCTGAGAGCACTTGGACCACGACCACGGATGCATGTGGATGCCCATAACGCTGGACATGATGTGCATTTGCTTGTTGCTTCCAGATTTGGTATTGTAAGGCTGGCATTGCTTGCCATCGTCGTGCGGCATATTGAGGCTATAGAAAGAGAACCATCTTAGTTTCAGAGATGCCCTTGGGACAGAAAACTCTAGCGCCTTACATGTGTCCCAGCTCGTGGGCCATGGTGAATGCAGCGGGCAGTCCGGTGTCCTGGACAATGGAGCAGGATCTGGGATTGCAAACGGTGCCCAGTTCGGCCAGGCCCAGCATGTGGCAGCTCTTTCCGGGAACCCCGCCACAGATCGGCTCACTGTAATCGATTACTTGTAGGTGCTGTTCAGATGAGGTCTTGAGCTCTGGTCTTACCGCGTTATCAGCATGGCCGTGTCGTAGTGGTAGCCCTTCTGGTTGGCAAAGGTGCAAAAGTGCTTGAGCATTTCGTTGCTGGAGTTGTGTCGCTCGTTGCTGTCGGGCAACAGAATCAGGTTGACCAGAGAGATGCGAATGGAGTTGCCGATGCTGGCATCCTCGAAGATTTTCGAGACGATCGACAGCAGCATGAAAATGTAGTCGGACAGATCGTCCTTGTGGAATCTGCCCATGCTCGAGTCGACAGCCACCAGCACCTCCAGGGTGTACAGCTGATTGTCCATGTCCGAGTAGTGTCGCTTGCGGCGCGTCAGCTTGCGGGGCTGGCTGTCGCGCAGTTGTCGTGCGAGCTCCAGCGGCTCCAGTGCGTCCAGGCCCAGCTCGAGCTCGGAGACAGCGTGTCTGGCATTGCGCTGAGAGTGTCGCCAGATGCGGTGCAAGACCTCGTCGCTGCTGGTCTGGTTCACCGGCTGAATGAGCAGTGTGCCGAAACCCGTTTTGATATAACCAGTCTGGATCGTGGGTTGTGGGGCGGGGATCGGAACGGAGGGGGAACGGCTTATTAGTAGTCATATTCGGCGATATATTGATAAGCATAATTTGCTAAATGTAAATGCGATGCAAATGGCTTTGCGAAGGTCAATCCGTGCCACTTGTTGGCCTTACCATGCCGCCGCAGAGTGAAACGGCCACCGCCGAGTGGGCGTCGCCCTCGACGTATCCAGTGTAGTAGCAGCCCAGAGATGACTGCTGGTCCTGGTCCTGGCCCTGGTTCAGCTCCTCGGCGTCGTCTGTCGATCCACTGGTGCGATTACTGAGTATTCGAATCAGCGGTATCATGTTGCTCGTTACGAACGAGCTGTCCTGGTGCAGCACCAGGTGCAGCCCGCGGCCAAATGCATGCAGATTGTATTCCGGATGTGGATCCCAGATCTGGTGTGATCTTCTGCGGAAGGTGCCCGTCATGCTGAAGGCGGGCGATGAGTCTGCAAGCTCAAAGATCAGTCGGGATTCAAGTGGGGAAAGTGGAAACTCCGCTTACTCTTGAGAAAACTATTAACATCGTTGTTTCGCTTCGATTCGTAGAGCAAGTCGTCTTCGTTGAGGCTGTGGTTGTAGACCTTGATGGGAACCACAAAGGCACTGAGTTCGTCCCTGCCAATATCCTCGAAGCCATCCGCGTCGCTGTGGACCCCAAACGGACCACGACTGGGCGGATCTGTGACGGGGAACAGTATGGGTGTGACTGCGGGTGGTGCCTGTGGGGCCGACTGGTTGCTCTTGGGCAGCTCCAGCCTGGCTCTATGCCCGCTCGGCAGGCCATTGTAAAAGAATATGACAAATAATAGCGCCACGAAGACGAACAAGATGGTGTACAGGCAGGCGTTTTGTCGCAAGTGTGTGGACATCTTTTGGCTGCACTTGTACCGGTAGAACCACCATTCACACCTCTTCTTCAGCACGAGCTGTAATGGAGCGAACAGAACAGAGGAAAGTGTGGGTTAGTCTGCGGGTCTGTGATCTCGGACCGTCTGTGGCTGTTGTGGAGCGTGGAGTGTGGCATTCTCTCACACCTTCGAGCCCAGTCTCGATTAATGGGTGGCTGGAAAGCTGCCCAGATAAGTGCTTGGGCACGTACCACTGCCCCAACGGCCTATCATGGCGGGGGCTGATTTGAGTGATTGACTTTTGAAAGAATTATTGATGAACTGCCGCCGGCGGTCTGCAAACTCGTACCTTGACCACCTGTGAGATACGAAGATCAGACAAATGCAGAGGCAGAGGCAGAGGCAGAGGCAGAGGTAGAGGTAGCGGCAGCCCCCGGCGGCTGGCCTTTGGCTGCAGCCCGAGCAAAGCTGTTGAAAACACTTCCTCGCACCGCCAACAATTTTTGCACATTTTGTTTAAAGCGAAATGCTCAAGCGCCGAGGTGTAAAGTGTGCCAGCGGCAATATGTGTGCTTCAGACATAAAGCAAATGCAAAGAAAAAATTATACAAAAAAAGGAATGAAATTTTAAATGCCTCTAATTTGTAGATTTATGTGAGAGCTGTTTGTTGGCACCTCTGCGATATTGCTTTAGACAATTCATGTATCAGCGCAAATAAATTTAAATTCCGCCACGAAATTAGCGAATTAATTTCGCTAAATGTCGAGCTATTTTACATAATTTTATGGCAGCTCTGTGAACTCTGCGACCGCCGACGCATTATCCGTTATGCCCTCTATCGTTGTCCCGATTTGTCTGCCAAAAATCTTCATGGATCAAAGAACACTGATGATCCGAATGGTATACCCGCCGTAGAGCGTGTGATCACATTTTCTAGACAATTTTTGCGGTTTCTAGAGTAGTTTGTTTCGGAATATATGGAAAAAGAAAAGAACTCAATTACGGAATAAGCCTTCAACTTGTCCTCCAAACTGTCAATAGTTATTGACCTCTCTCGGCGCCACCGAAATTCGACCAAAATTAGCCTCTATTGAAAATTGCTCAAAATTATGCGCCATAAAATTCGAATTAACTTTAATGCCTTGCGCCCTGTGCCAGAGCTGAGACCATTTTAACGACCGACAAGAAGATAATCCCCCCAGCTAGAGATAGCGTCAGTTGGTGAAAGTCACATAATTGATCAGAGCTGCCGCAATTCAGACGTAGGTCCAGCAACAGATAGTACGTTGTGTGCCTCTTATTAGTATGTATTTATGAATGAAGGAATTATGGCCATGATGTGGCTAATCTAATAGATCACAGATATCCGAGTTACTAACACAATTGCATACTTTTGTGGGCGGGTTTTTTCCTCTCATTCCGGGAACTCTAAGAACTGTTTGTACTGTCCTGTCAACTGACACACTTTTATCGGTCAAAACATTCTGTGGATAGCTCGAAGATCGAACCCACCGACTAAGTAGTATCCGTATCGGCTTGGTGTGAGGCTTATCATAAATTCACTACAGTGCTTAAATGCCTGTGTACAACAACGATTTGCAATGCAAATCGCGCATGTCTCAGATGCCCCAAAAGATATTCACGTCTCCAAAGGCAGGCTCGGCTCTTTATGTATTTAATTAAAGCGCCGTTCTGGCAATCTTTCGGTTTTTATCTCTCTCATTTGTTAGTTATGCATGCGTTGGGAGAGCTGCTTATTAACTTGTTTCGCGGCAGCCTTATAAATATGCAAATGCAATGCGTATGGGTGCCTTCTGCCTTCTGCCTTTGCTTTTGCCTTTGGTTGGGTAGGGTTTAGGGTCTGTATTATATTTTTGTATATCTTGGGATGGTTCATTTCCACTTCGCTTAATTTATTATTAAGGCGAAGTGCTTGCTTGCCTGGGCTCTGACTAATTGACCAATTCGATGGGGCGGCAGTGGCAGTGGCAATGCCAGCGGTCAAAGAAACAGCAACAGCAACACCAGCAGAGAAGCATCTCGGACAAACCTGTTTACACCTGACTGAGAATGGAAACAAAACAAGCGATTTGTGTGTCAGCCGATCGCTTTATTTTGCCGTATGCTATAATTTATGCCAATGGCCACAAAACTCTGGCCGACACACTGTCTGCATAGCCACGGCGTCGCTCAGTCTGTCCCCGTGAGCGTCGTGAAGGCCGACTGGGCACGCAGCAGCATCGACCTGGGACCTGGGGCACTCTTCACTGACGATCCGGCGATTCATGTAAACCACCTTTGGCCGCCTAATTGGCTGGTTCGACGAGGTGTTAAGTGTCTGCGTCGACGAGAACTGGCCACTGGTGCGGCGAATGCGTGCGGCCACAGGTCTGGTCGGAGAACGCGGCGAATGCGCAATATTCACTTAATTACACGACTAGTGGGGATGCCAGAGTGAGGTGAAGCAGCAATTGCGGCTGTTAATTTGTATATAATGACTTAATTGCATCGCTGCTGGACAAAACAGTCGCCCTGTTTGTGTGTCTGTGTGTTTGTGTTTCACTTTAATTTGGCATTTGCGCCTGCGCTCTTCGAGCCACATATGGAAACGATCATAAAAATGGGGGAGTGCAGCTACAAATGAACAAATTAGCAGCTACATATTTGGCATAAATCACTGGCGCAGAGCATTCAATAGTTTTGATTTCGATTTGGTTTTGGATTTCAATTACAGTTTCGGGGGCGTTGCTCGTGCCTCGCACAGCTATTTATGCCCCGGCGCCCATTCGAACCTTATATGCACCATGCAATATGCAACATGCATTTTGTTCGTTTTCAGCTATCCAAAGTTGTTGCCACTTTGTAGAATTTGGGGCGCGTGTGTTTATGGCGAAGGATAAATAAACTTGTAGACTTTATGGGCGTGCTTTTTGGGGCCGTTATGCATGCGCGGTGCGTGTCTGCCGCAAACAGAATCGAAAACTCTATTGAAGGCGCGCCAATTTGGGAATTGTCTTAAATAGCAGGCAAACATTAGCAAACACTGAAATTATGTGGAATCGCATTGGTCAGTCAGGGCGAGAATATTTGTAAATATTTTCAATATGCAGCAGAGCATTTCGCTGGAAATGTTTTTCCATTTTGCGTTTTTCCTTTTTGAGCAACGTCCCGGCGGGGGAATGAACCAGAGCCCTTGGAAACTAGCAAACAGACATTGGCGAGACGAAAATAAAAACAAAAACAAAGCAGCCAAAAAAAGAAAATCACCGGTAGGCAGCCAGAACAAAATAATGAAAACATGCTCATAAAATCTGTTTCTGTGTACTTCACTGGAAAAGCCAACGGCCCACGAGCCAAATTGGGGAAAACTCTTGTAATCCGGCGAATCCCCCACGCGTTAGCGTTAGATCAGCGACCGAATATGACCACATGCTGTCATTGATGCATCTACACACACTCGAGTCCATCCATATATGTATGCCCACATATGGCTTGTGGTATGGGGAGGAAAATGCATTTGCAGTGCGAATATCTAAATTGAAATCAGCATTCGAGTGAAGTGCATTTGTAACTTCAATATTCGCAATTGAAAGCCATCATCGCAAATTCAATCAATTAACCTTGGCCAAAACGTACGAAATGTAATTGAAAATGGGCTGGAAAATGCATTAGACATCGCTTGGCTGGGTTGGCTTATTGGCTGCTTGGCTGCGTGGCTGCTTGGCTGCGTGGCTGCCTGTGGCACTTGGACGTCTGGTGGCATGGTCGCCCGACTGGCTGGCTGGCTGGCTGGCTGGCTGGACCACGCCTTCAACTGCCATATGTTTGCGTATCAAGAGCATCAGCATCGGGCCAGGGCCTCGTATCGGGAGGTGGTGGGACACCATTTGTTTATCGGCACGGGCCTCACGCATAGCACTAGCACATGGCGGGCCGAAGACGTCTGGTCCCCCTCGACACCCAACACAATTTCGCCGAGTTAATTATTGCGTGTTTAACCTTGAAATTAACTGGTATACATGTGTGCGTATATTTGTATATTTCGATCGTTTCAAAACTATAAAATAATCAAACATTGTTTAGCTTTCGTTGAATACAATTTTTGCACAAAAAACAAAAAAGAACTGGGAAATCAAGGCCATTTGTATGTAGTAGATATTGAAAATGCTGTTTATAGGCTGCATACAATCTTGATTTGGAGCATTGGATGCACTGATGATTCATCCTGGACTCATCCAAAGAGCATCGTAAAGATTTAACGCGCCATTAAACTGCATCTCTGGCCATTAGATTGCGGTTTTGTCATTACAAAATGTTTATTCTGGGTTAATTTAATACATGCCTTAATGGGTTCGCCTTTGATTTATTTGGCACACTTTTTTGAGTGGCAACAAAAACACACGGCGTTTATCTATGGTGGTCATACATTGCGTATGCGCAATTTAGCAGCAAATTTGAGCAATTTCGTATGCACCACAGCACGTACACAGCGAGTATGTTTGCTCAGTCTGATTAGTTGATTAATTAGTGAACACTGTTGATTATTCAATGTGAAATTATGGCCTGCTGACCCCACCAATTGACCGGGACTTGGGGAATGGTGTGGCCGAAAACTTGTTATGCACACACTTCCCGTCTCAAACCTTGACTCGGTGGAGCAGAGCGGAGCGTAGCGCATTCGGCGTGCCATTCAGCCTTACGCGTTGCCAACACATTCTCACGTTCGATTTATTTATTGTATCTGCAGTTTTGTTGCCCACGCCGCGGCCAGAAACATATAAATTACAAATATTTATTTGCTTTCCGACGCTTACAAAGTGTGTGCGTGTTTATTTGGACAGCCCGAGTCGGTTCCAGGAGGTGTGCGAACCGGCCACGAGCCCCCCTGGGGGGGGGGCAATGTGCTCTGCACCTGGCGCACCTTCGAGTGGGCTCCAATTCGAGTCCCAAAAGTCAATTAAGGAGGCATTTCATGTTGGAGCAACCGTTTAATATTCTTATGCCAGTGCTTTATATAACGCTGTAAATTAACCAAATTCTCTCAACTTTCTTGCGGGGTTGCCACTTCAAAGGCAAG